AGAATTACCCCCATGACAGCATACCATTTTCAAAAGTAGAAAACCCAATGTCCACTTAGTCGCCAAACACTGGCTAAAGTTGTTGTTCAGATTTGTTTGTGTGTGAAAAATTCTATTGAATACTAATTTTGGCAAGTGTTTGTGGCTAAGTGGCTACTAAAAGAGACTGGACATACCCCATTTGCAAAACCTTGGATTGTCTACTTTTGCAAATGGTATGCCATCATTGGGTAATTCTCATACCTGGGCTACCACACGGTCTCAAAAGCAACATAACCAATTTGGAACATTTCAGTGTGAAAAAACTGAAATGCAAGCCTTATATTTGACTCTGTAGTTTTTGGAAACACCATTAAACCTGAACATGAGGGGTACTGTTATATTTGGGAGACTTTTAGTGTTTGTGTGTGAAAAAAAATAAATGGCAGTTTGTGTGTGAAAAAAATGCACAAAAACGTAATTTTCACTGACAATATCATCATTGTGATACATTTTACTGTTTACTGGATTGTCAGGCAGGTCCCTCAAATTGTAATTAATAAAATTACCTAATTATGTAAAAATATTACATAAATATATACATATAATTTAAATGTATATTGTAATAAACGCCTTGTATTTTGTATACAATGTTCATTGGTATACTCCCGAAATGCTAGGGACTTAGTGATTAAAGCCCATTCGCATAGTATGTTGATTCATACTTTCCTGAAATCCAAGTTAGTCATGAGAATAAATCCAGCGGTTCGTCATTCGCATACCCAAACATCAGTTGAGACTTGATAAAGGGTACAACAGGAATGTTTTATTATGGACAGATAGCATACTTTTATACACAGACCCCTAGGAAGGGGTCTCAAGCAAGGACTTAGCATAACACTCCCACAACAAGCCCATGACACTCCCACAACACGCCCTGGAGTCTCAGTGTCTGGGAGATAATTTAGTGTACTTTGCTTAAACTAATTATCTCCCAGGCACTAGAGTTACAAATCATAAAAGATACAATATTAAAAATACACATAATACATAGAGGAACCCCCCCCCCATATAATATCCCCGGATAGCCTGGATCCGAGTTCCCAAGTTGTCCAAATAACGCTCAGATCTCACAAACACAGCCAAATCGCCAACAGGGTAAAGTTTTTACCGACCGCACATGTGGCGCACAAATTTGTTCCATAGAATAAGTGGTAGCGGTCGGTCAATATCTGGAGTTCCAAAATTCCAAAATGAACAAAAAGAGGAACAGTTCCCCTGGCTCATAGGTAGCAATTGCTTGTGCAAACAATCCTACTGAACAGTGCTCTCCTGGCTTGTCGTGGAAAGAAGCAGGCGTGTGAATTTACCAGTGTTTGCAAGGTCGAATGCCTGACTTAGAGTTCCAGACACTCAACGACCAAGTGTCACATATTCATCCGCTTATAGAAATGTGGTTAATGACATTTACTGTCCACACAGGAAAAGTTGTGCCGAGCAGCAACCTAATCCACAGAAGGGTTAATGCTGAGCAGTAATTGTGCAAGTGAAACCTGGTGTCATGTATTCATCCGCTTAGAGAAAAGTGATTAATGACATTTACTGTCCACACAGGAAAAGTTGTGCCGAGCAGCAACCTAATCCACAGAAGGGTTAATGCTGAGCAGCAATTATGCAAATGAAACCTGGTAACTGACTTTGGGGTCAAAGGCCGGTTACAGCCTATCAGAAAGAAAGGAGGGGTATTTAGGCCCAGTTCTCAGCCTGCTTAGTGCCCTGTCGTGGTTTCCCTTGTGGTTGTCCGAGAGCGCGTTCCTGTTTATAGTTTTCTACCTGGTTTTTGACTTTGGCTTTGTTTATTGACTTCTCTATATTCTGGTATCCTGACTCCTGGCTTTCCTCATCGCTGTGTCCCTTTCTGTGTTTCCTGACCTCGGCTAGTATTTTTGACTATTCTTTGCACGTTAAATCCGGCCATTGTAAGGACCGGTAATACGTTACTTATTTGTCATCCGTGCTGTACAGTTCTACGTGCTGGATCAAACAGTAATCCTGACACCAAGTCCCACTGCCTGCTTTTGTGTGACAAGATGGCCACACAGAGAGAGCACTTAAGTTTGTGGTTTATTTGAAGTTAATGAGCCAAGGGGGTGATCGGTGTTCGGTAGATCCATCTACCGAACGCAGGGAAAGTAACAGGGAGAAAAAAGTACATTGTTTTGTCACATGTATATCACAGGAAATCCTTGCACACTGGCTAAAATACTTAATAAATTGCCAGGTGCAATGCCAGAGCCTTTAAATATTCAATACATATACAATACACTAGGTCACAGGTGCCTCATCCCAGGGCCATATTTAGCCTTGTACTGCAGAGAGACCCAGATGGAATTTTTTCTCCAAGTAAGTGGGTTAATCTCATAACATAGAAACATAGAATGTGACGGCAGATAAGAACCATTCGGCCCATCTAGTCTGCCCAATTTTCTAAATAATTTCATTAGTCCATGGCCTTATCTTATGGCTAGGATAACCTTATGTCTATCCTACACATGCTTAAACTCCTTTACTGTGTTAACCTCTACCCAGAGGCGGACTGACCGGTCGGGCACTTCGGACACGGTCCGAGTGCCCGGCCGGGAGGGGGGCCCGCCGCCAGGGCCGCCTTCAGGGGGCCCGGCGGCAGGGCTGGATTGGGGGCGGCATTTGGGGACTTGAGGAAGGTGCCACCGGGTGGCCGGCCCGGTGGCACACTGTGAGGGGGCCGGCCGTTTGATGCTGGAGCCGCCGGACCGGGTGGCAGCCTCGCCGGTCCGGCGGCATTCCTCTGACTAACACTGAAAGAGGAGGAGGAGGAGCATGTGTCTGTCATGCTCCCTGCGGTTCCCACAATTCCCAGCACAGGATGTGGGAACCGCAAAGGAGCATGATAGACACATGC